ACAGAGTAATTTTATTCAATGAGGACAAGTTAAAAAAATGTCGTGAATTGAATCGAGAAGTTTCGAAACGCTTGGAACTCTTATACGTATAAAAGCAGTAAACACGAGAACAGTTCAAATAGGAGGCAAGCGTCAATTCGTCTTTAGATGTTGCTTCGTACACAGCGTTTCAAAACAGTGTCGTTTGCGAATTTTGTTTTAAAGGCGAAAAATGGCCTCCGTACCATTTTGTGTGTTCGAGTGTACCAATATCAGTGACAGAGTAATTTTATTCAATGAGGACAAGTTAAAAAAATGTCGTGAAATATTGAATATTCGTATTGCTTTAAAGTCAAAATATTCGGACATTACTTTACCAGCTAGTGCAATCAAAATACATGGATATCACTCGACATGTTGTAAAAATTTTTTAGCCATTCAACAGAAAAATATCGTTAAATATCATGCGTTGAAATCATCGCAGACTCCTTCCAGTTTGAATGACGCTTCAAGGAGTTTATTTAGAAATGAAGCATCAGATAAATAAAGCCATACTCTTATTTGCAAACGCGGTAATCTACTAAGAAACGAGTTTTTGTTTTTAATCGAATTTAAATTATTTCATTGTGTTCTTGTTAAAATTATACATACATGAAAACCTTTTTTTATCAACAGCGTCATGCGAAAATAGTTCAAACGAACCGATGGACGTTTCAGGGACAGCTACTGATCTAGATGCCTCAGACCCAGCGTGTGCGATACAATCAGGTAAATAATAAACTGATATATTTAAAATTAAATAACGTACGTGTTACTAACATAGTTTTTTGTCGTGAGTGTGCGAATGAGTGATTTTCCGCATCATGTAAAACGACAAAATAAGTGTGTGAAGCGCAACTTTTCGTCTAAGTTAAACTTAACGAATAATAATGCGTAAAGATCTTTGACAAAAAATTGTTTTTTATACTCTATGTGCAAAATTCGACTTCTCTTTGCAATTTGTCGCACGCGAGGCGTACGCAAAAGCGCATTTTGCGTACGGAGTGATAAAAAAATTATTTCATTTTGTTCTTGTAAAAATAATACATAATAAATCTTTTTTTTATCAACAGTGTCATGCGAAAATAGTTTAAGCGAATCGATGGACGTTTCACAGACAGCTTGTGATCCAAATGCTTCTGAGCCAGCGTGTGCGAAACAGTCAGGTAAATAATATATAAACTTCGACTTTCAAACTTTTTATAAAATCTTCGAGATAAATATTAAATTGTAACATTTTTTGTCAACAGAGTCAACCGACAACAATGGCCAAGAAGCGATGGAATTTTCACTGACTGCTCAAGCAGAGGAAACTGCAGTAAAAGATGCTGAAAAGATTTGTTTTTCCTGCGATAAGGCGCGAGTACGTAAAAATGCTCGTACATTACCAATTTATAGTTCAACCAAAGTAAAATTATTAGATGATATTACGCAGAATGCGCAGGGCATCAATGATAAACTTACGCTGGAAAAAATCAGTTCTTTGGCAGCCGATGCAATCATTTATTATCACAATAGTGGCAAGACTTTGTACAATATCTAAAAAAATTTATTAAGAAACCAAAAACAGTTCAAACTGATTGGCACAACTATAGAAATTTTTATGATCTTGCTTTCAAAGCAATTATTGCTTTTTAGACGGAGAGCTGGCTACATAAAAATGCAAGGTATAAGGTACATGAAATATTTATAGCTAGAGAGGTTCCATTAGCACTCCCGAACACTGAGTGACCAGTCTGCCTGCGCGCTTAGGAAGATTAAGGCGGGGGTGGACGATCAAAAATGACAAATTTTACAAGAAAAAAAATGATAAAGCTCAGGGATAAAAATTATAGGAATGTTAAGTATTTGTTGCTACGAAACGCGGAAAATTATTGGCAGACGATTTCGTGGAAGAGAAAGGGCCGGCAGACTGCAACAAAGCGGCGTTAACTTTTGTGAAAAAAAAAAATGATAAGGTACATGATTAAAAATTATTGGTAATAATTACTAAACTGTTAACGAAGCTATGTGCTAAATGGCAGACGAAAAAACTGAAGACAACATCGAGGCAGATTGTAATGAAGAGCGCAGTTTCGATCGCGCTTAATGAGGTAGTTTCGTACGATGCGCTACTATGATATGTTATTTTGTTATTTATATGAATATATTACGTGTTTCTTTTTTCCATTAATGGATTTAGTTTGTATTCATTCTTTTATTGTTAAAAATAAAATAATTAATATTTATTTATTATATTGAATCTAATAGCGAATTCGGGCGCTTGCACTGGTGCACACTGAGGTGCGCACTAAAGCTTGTTTATAATCTATTCTTATATTTAAAGTCGCTTAAATACACATTTAAAAACTTTTTAGCCAATAAAACAATCTGTAATATCTATGTGGATCCTGTACAAAACATTTTATAGGCTAAGAAGTATTTAAGATGATCTGTAAATATAACAATTGATTAAGAATAAGCCTTAGTGCACACTCAGTGTGCACTAGTGCAAGTGCCCGAATTCGCTATAAATTGTTACTAATTAATCTCATAACATTTTTTATCTGCAGTTGAAAACTATATATAAACATTTTTCTACAAGTTTTAAAATAATATATTGAGGTTTTAATAGATTGAAAGATTCGAAAATTATATTTGAAAATTCAACGCAAGTATAAAAACCGTTTGAAACGGTTCAGAGGGACCAAGCGGCCGAGAAACAGCTGTATAGTAGAGGCTGGAGAAGGTCATTTATGATAATAAAGATAATAAATATAAGAGAGTTCAGTATACTCGAAAACTCGACAGTGAACAGACGTCCAACGTGTATTGTGCCGAATTTTATTTTTCTTTAGTGGCTTTTAGAATCTTTATTTATTGTTCATTTATTATTTATTTATTATTTATTATTTATATAATCTTTATTTATTATTTATATTTTGCAAATGTCAGTGAACTATTCGCAAAATGAGTTCGGAGCAAAAGTGTGTATTTTGTAACAACAGCAGTGAAACTAAAATCACACTTTTTAACGATAAAATTTTGGAAAAATGCAGGAAGATTTTAAAAATTTGTGTGACCTACAAGCTAAAGTATAATGAACTTATTTTACCCACAACTGCAGATAAAATCAATGGGTACTATAAAAATTGTTATAGTAATTTCACGGCTATTAAAAAAAAGTATGTTGACAATTATAGTGAATTGGTTAAATTACAGCAGTCTGGAAATACAATACCGGAGCCTGATCCTAGTAAGTACATGAATTCTTATATGACTTTTTCAATACATTGTTGATAAATAATAAAACTAATTTATTGTTTATTTTATGTAGCTAATAACGAATCAATTGCCTCATCTAATGTCATTTTTTAGCAGATATCAACGAAATCGAATCTGAGGATGATATCGATTGCGAAAGCGAAGAAGATATGCAGTACGATGAATCCGATGCAAACAGCGAAATAGAATAAATCTACAATTTTTAATAGTATTTTTTTGTTAATGGAAAAATTATTCTAATGTTAAACATATCTTTTAGCACTTATTATATATATAATATAGAAATTGTTATCTTATTGTCGACATGATATATATATAAACAAAATAACATATCGTAGTAACGCATCGTACGGAACTAACTCGTTAAGCGCAATCGAAACCGCGCTCTTCATTACAATCTGCCTCGATGTTGTCTTCAGTTTTTTCATCTGCCATTTAGCACATAGCTTTGTTAACAATTTAGTAATTATTACCAATAATTTTTAATCATGTACCTTATCATTTTTTTTTTCACAAAAGTTAACGCTGCTTTGTTGCAGTCTGCCGGCCCTTTCTCTTCTACGAAATCGTCTGCCAATAATTTTCCGCGTTTCGTAGCAACAAATACTTAACATTCCTATAATTTTTATCCCTGAGCTTTATCATTTTTTTCCTTGTAAAATTTGTCATTTTTGACCGTCCACCCCCGCCTTAATCTTTCTAAGCGCGCAGGCAGACTGGTCACTCAGTGTTCGGGAGTGATAATGGAACCTCTCTAGCTATAAATATTTCATGTACCTTATACCTTGCATTTTTATGTAGCCAGCTCTTAGACTATTTGTAGCAGAGGAAGTAATTCAACAAGAAAGAACTTTTTTTTAAGATTTGTAAACTTTTTGTAAAGATTTGTAACTGAAATGTACAACATTTTGGAAAAGTTTTATACAGAAGCCTATGATTCTTTTAAAACTGCTACTACAGATCATTTTATGCTTGAAAAATTAAAGGAGCATTTCGAAGATAAAATTCAAATAATTGTAATGCACAACAAAAAAATCATAACTCCACAAGACAGAACTGTTATAACCGAGGAAACTTTCACTCATTTGCAGGATTATGCGCTTTTACAACGTGCTGCTTTCATATTGCGCAGAAAATTATTGAACATTTCTAAAAAGCCGCTGCCGAATGATTTGTAATTTACGAATTTGATTGCTGAGAGTGTGATATACCAATAAAATTGTCACATTTTTTACAATCAGTTATTTGTGGGCCTGATAAGCGAACGCAAAGTAGTTCCAATTGCTTGAGGAAAATTAATTCAATATCTCAAGATATAATATACGCCACACATCACGGTAAAATAAAAACAGGAAAACATATTACTCTTGCAATGTTATTAAAAAGTATAACAAGTAGCAGAAAAGTAGTCGATGTAATAAATATATTTGGTCACTGTTGTAGTTACAACGTTACTGAAGAATTAGAAACTAAAGTAACTTATTCTTTATGCAACAAATCAAACGTATATCCGGAAGACACAATATCATCTCCTAAACACTGTACAGGTGTTGCGTTTGACAATTATGATAGATTTATTGAGACTTGCAACGGTACGGACACGCTTCACAATACAGTAGGAATATTATATCAAAATGTAATTCCCGGCGAAAACATTACTCTTTCTGAAAGTGATAATAGCAATAGTAATGATAACTTACATTCTGTTGCCAAAAGAAGAAGAACGTTAAATGTCGTAGCTCCAGAATTGCCTATATATAATAAAAAACCCAAATTACGTGAACATTTATTACCGGTTGACAGCGTGTTGCGCACGATTAAATCAAGCATCAGTTTTCAAACAATGACAAAGCTAGATATTCTGTGGGTACTCTCACATTACTGTAAAGTTCTTAACACGCCAATGTGGGTAGGATTTAATAGCAAAATAATCGAAGATAACCCAGGTAGGAAGCACATGTCATTTTGACGTCAATTGACGTCAGAAGACGTCAAAATGACAGACTTTTGACGTCAATTGACGTCAAAATGACATGTGCTTCCTACCAGGGAATAGTGTAAAATAAAAAATTTCGTATTTGACACCGGTAAATGCATCACCTACTAATATATCAGTCGTTTACGAAACGATGAGACAGAGTCAGCAGATTGCAGAAGAATGTAAACAACCATCAATGCAAGTTACGTACGATTTGGCTATTGCAAAAATAGCATTGCAAATACAATCTGAGGAAAAACCTACGTTTCAAAATTTGTTTATACATTTAGGCGACTTTCACATAATGCTCTTATATTTTAAGGGAGTAGGTAAATTTATTGATGAGTGTGGTCTTTCACACATGATGGTTGAAAGCGAGCTTTTAGCAAGTGGTTCTGTGAACGGTTTTATCAGTGGGAAGCACTTTAATAGGTGTAAACGTTTACACCCTTTAGTAGCTAAAGGCCTATAAATGTTACATGTCAAACAATTTTTAATTGAGTATGACATTGAAATCTCTGACAATGTTATCGAAGAATTAAGTAAGATTCAATCTGAAAAATCTGTGAATAATATGATTGAAAATGAAGAAATTTCAGAAATATTAATCAAGTATTTACAATATAAAGAAAACACTAAAAATGGAAAATTCGGTAAAACACCGCAGTTCTATATGATGTACATAGATTTTATAAATTATTATCTTATGCTAACTAGAGGTATCAAAATGGGCGATTTTGAACTGTACAAATACGTTATTCCAAAAATAAGCAATGTTTTTTTTATTTTTAATCAAATGAATTATGCACGATGGACACAAAAATATTATGATAATCTACTACAATTTGAACAAACACATCCAGATTTAACAGATGATTTTAGAAAGGAATGTTCGGTAAACAAACTGATAAACATTTTTCAAGGATACCAGTTGATTTAACGTTGGAACAGACCGTCAATACCGATGCTGCCCGGAAGCTCACGGGTATATCACATTTTACAAATTCCATAGCAGCTCGTCAGCGATGGTCTAAAAGCCATGGGATAAGATCAGCGATTATGTCGTATGTTTATGAAATACTAGCTGGTTACCCGGGCTTCGCCCCGGAGGACATATGTAATAAAACACGCAAATAGTCTCTCTCTCTCTCTCTCTCTCTCTCTCTCTCTCTCTCTCTCTCTCTCT